AAAAGATAGGGAATAAATATATAATAATAGTAGCAATAGTAATAATAATAGTAACAATAATAATAACAATAATAACAATCATAATAATAATAACAACAATAATAGTAAGAATAATAAGCAGTGCAAATGTAGATATATACATACATACATATTAGAGGTAGTGCAAATGAGAGGTAGTGGTATATTAGCTATAGGGGATATTGCACGTTGTGGGTTTACTGGGAACACAGCTGGTTGTAGAGTCTGGTTGAAAGCTTCTTGGACATGTCTCATAGTAGTTTTATAAAGGAGCAATGACATGTAGCACTAAAATGATGCTCTCATGATGAAATGATATATCTAATAAATAAAAAAGACACTTCCTGCCTCAGGATGAAATAAAATTAAAAACCCGCATGTAGTCGGAAACAACTGATGATGAATAGTGGTTTATTTCAGAGAGACAAAGGAAGGGAGTGACTTTTCTTCCAGCCAACTGTGAATGACAGAGATTTTAGTCTTTCATGAAAAGTGTCAGTTTGTGTGAATTACGATTTGAAAATCAAATTCCATCTGTCTGTCTTTCTGTCTGCAGTGTCTGTCAAAGTCCACGTGCATTTCTCTCATTGCTTTCAGGTGAACCTGGGATATTTGCTGTGAACCACTGAAACCCATTCAGACTCCGCAGCGCTTCATTGTGACGTCACCGAACGGAACCTCGGAACCACGGTTCTACGAGCAGGGGACAAATCTCATTTCACTCTCATCTGTTCACACAGCAGGAGACACAGTTGATCTGCTCTTCACAGCGCTTGGATTTCACTCAACTTGACATTTTTTCTTAAATAAATAAAAATAAAAATGTCCGCTTCAATCCTCAAAAACCCAAATCTGCAGTTGTCAGGATCCTCAAGTCCAACAGGTGAGAGCCACTGAAACACCAAATGTAATGTGTGGTGTGAAAAAGACACGGATTCAAGTGTAAATGTGGAAATATGTGGTCCTACGTGATGTTTATATGAAATTGTTTTTAGTGGACGTTAGTTTGTGTGTAAGAGGCTTCAGTGCAGTGAACAGTGACCTATAAAGGAGCAGTCTGTGCACTCTGATCCACATTTACACATTTGATCTTTGATTTTTTTTTACAAAATAAAAA